TGTACACACATGATCACCTGGAAGGTGTACACATATGATCACCTGGAAGGTGTACACACATGATCACCTGGCAGGTATACACAAGAGATCACCTGGCAGGTGAACACACACGATCACCTGGCAGGCGTACACACACGATCACCTGGCAGGTGTACACACACGATCACCTGGCAGGTGTACACACACGATCACCTGGCAGGTGTACCCACATGATCACCTGGCAGGTGTACACACATGATCACCTGGCAGGTGTACATACATGATCCCCAAGCAGGTGTACACACATGATCACCTGGCAGGTGTACACACATGATCACCTGGCAGGTGTACACATATGATCCCCTGGCAGGTGTACACACATGATCACCTGGCAGGTTTACACACATGATCACCTGGCAGGTGTACACACATGATCCCCTGGCAGTGTACACACATAATCTCCTGGCAGGTGTACACACATGATCACCTGGCAGGTGTACACACATGATCACCTGGCAGGTGTACACACATGATCACCTGGCAGGTGCACACACATGATCACCTGGCAGGTGCACACACATGATCACCTGGCAGGTGGACACACATGATCAACTGGCAGGTGTACACACATGATCAAGTGGCAGGTGTACACACATGATCACCTGGCAGGTGTACACACATGATCACCTGGCTTGTGTACACACATGATCCCCTGGCAGGTGTACACACATGATCACCTGGCAGGTGCACACACATGATGACCTGGCAAGTGTACACACATGATCACCTGGCAGGTGTACACACATGATCACCTGGCAGGTGTACACACATGATCACCTGGCAGGTGTACACACATGATCACCTGGCAGGTGCACACACATGATCACCTGGCAGGTGTACACATATGATCACCTGGGAGGTGTACACACATGATCACGTGGCAGGTGTATGCACATAATCACCTGGCAGGTGTATACACACGATTACATGGCAGGTGTACACACATGATCACCTGGCAGGTGTACACACATGATCACCTGGCAGGTGTATACACATCATCACCTGGCAGGTGTACACACATGATCACCTGGCAGGTGTATACACATCATCACCTGGCAGGTGTACACACATGATCACCTGGCAGGTGTACACACACGATCACCTGGCATGCGTACACACATGATCACCTGGCAGGTGTACACACACGATCACCTGGCAGGTGTACACACACGATCACCTGGCAGGTGTACACACACGATCACCTGGCAGGTGTACACACACGATCACCTTGCAGGTGTGCACACACGATCACCTGTCAGGCGTACCCATATGATCAACTGGCAGGTGTACACACATGATCACCTGGCAGGTGTACATACATGATCCCCTGGCAGGTGTACATACATGATCACCTGGCAGGTGTACACATATGATCACCTGGCAGGTGTACACACATGATCACCTGGCAGGTGTACACACACGATCACCTGGCAGGCGTACACACATGATCACCTGGCAGGTGTACACACACGATCACCTGGCAGGTGTACACACACGATCACCTGGCAGGTGTACACACACGATCACCTGGCAGGTGTGCACACATGATCCCCTGTCAGGTGTACCCACATGATCAACTGGCAGGTGTACACACATGATCACCTGGCAGGTGTACACACATGATCCCCTGGCAGGTGTACATACATGATCACCTGGCAGGTGTACACATATGATCACCTGGCAGGTGTACACACATGATCACCTGGCAGATGTACACACATGATCACCTGGCAGGTGTACACACATGATCACCTGGCAGGTGTACACACATGATCACCTGGCAGGTGTACACAGACGACCACCTGGCAGGTGTACACACACGATCACCTGGCAGGTGTACACACATGATCACCTGGCAGGTGTACACACACGATCACCTGGCAGATGTACACACATGATCACCTGGCAGGTGTACACACATGATCCCCTGGCAGGTGTACACACGTGATCGCCTGGCAGGTGTACACACGTGATCACCTGGCAGGTGTACACACACGATCACCTGGCAGGTGTACACACACGAATACCTGGCAGGTGTACACACACGATCGCCTGGCAGGTGTACACACATGATCGCCTGGCAGGTGTACACATATGATCACCTGGCAGGTGTACACACATGATCACCTGGCAGGTGTACACACATGATCGCCGGGCAGGTGTACATACATGATCACCTGGCTGGTGTACACACATGATCACTTGGCAGGTGTACACACATGATCACCGGTCAGGTGTACACACATGATCACCTGGCAGGTGTACACACATGATCACCTGGCAGGTGTACGCACATAATCACCTGGCAGGTGTACACACATGATCACCTGGCAGGTGTACGCACATAATGACCTGGCAGGTATACACACACGATTACCTGGCAGGTGTACACACATGATCACCTGGCAGGTGTACACACATGATCACCTGGCAGGTGTACACACATGATCACCTGGCAGGTATACACACGTGATCACCTGGCAGGTGAACACACACGATCACCTGGCAGGCATACACACACGATCACCTGGCAGGTGTACACACACACGATCACCTGGCAGGTGTACACACACACGATCACCTGGCAGGTGTACACACATGATCACCTGGCAGGTGTACACACACACGATCACCTGGCAGGTGTACACACACACACGATCACCTGGCAGGTGTACACACACGATCACCTGGCAGGTGTACACACATGATCACCTGGCAGGTGTACACACACACACGCACATTTTCCACCTCTACGTTACTATACACATCTATAATGGTGTGTACAAGAGAGTAAATAATGGTTTGTTAAGTTCAACCTTGCAATCATTTAAAGTTCTTAAAAACAGTTCAAGGTCAAGTGACCTTTTATTTTGGCTTCCGTCAAAGTGTTTAAGGATCATGTCACTATAATATATTACGTACTAACACAGAAAATATATAAGTATTGGGCGTATTTCACACACTGCTTGCCAATGAGTTATATTTATGGGGAAGCATTAAAACCACAGGGGTCATATAGTGCCTGGGAGAAATTCAGGTTCGATCCAAGGAAGGGGAGGGCAAGTCTAATTCCTCGGATTAAGAGCACTTCACTGGCATCAAAGATAGGCCCACTTTAATGTAAATGAGAAAAAGATAGGCTTACTTTAATGTAAGAGAAAAAGATAGGCTCACTTTAATGTAAGAGAAAAAGATAGGCTCACTTTAATGGAAGAGAAAAAGATAGGCTCTTTAATGTAAGAGAAAAAGATAGGCTCTTTAATGTGAGAGAAAAAGATAGGCTCACTTTAATGTAAGAGAAAAAGATAGGCTCTTTAATGTAAGAGAAAAAGATAGGCTCTTTAATGTAAGAGAAAAAGATAGGCTCTTTAATGTAAGAGAAAAAGATAGGCTCTTTAATGTAAGAGAAAAAGATAGGCTCTTTAATGTAAGAGAAAAAGATAGGCTTACTTTAATGTAAGAGAAAAAGATAGGCTCTTTAATGTAAGAGAAAAAGATAGGCTCTTTAATGTAAGAGAAAAAGATAGGCTCTTTAATGTAAGAGAAAAAGATAGGCTCTTTAATGTAAGAGAAAAAGATAGACTCTTTAATGTAAGAGAAAAAGATAGGCTTACTTTAATGTAAGAGAAAAAGATAGGCTCTTTAATGTAAGAGAAAAAGATAGGCTTACTTTAATGTAAGAGAAAAAGATAGGCTCTTTAATGTAAGAGAAAAAGATAGGCTCTTTAATGTAAGAGAAAAAGATAGGCTCTTTAATGTAAGAGAAAAATATAGGCTCACTTTAATGTAAGAGAAAAAGATAGGCTCACTTTAATTTAGCTCAGGTCAACTGACTCTTAAAGTAACAAAGAAATAACTGCCATAATTAACATTTACTTTCTGATTTTCCACAAAGGAAATCGTAGTCACTTGTTGTTGGTAGTTTATAGAGCCACTAAGACCCTCCACCGTACCAACACCAGTAGTTGATATAGAGCCACTAAAATTCTCCACCGTACCAACACCAGTAGTTGATATAGAGCCACTAAGACTCCACCGTACCAACACCAGTAGTTTATAGAGCCACTAAGACTCTCCACCTTAACAACACCAGTAGTTTATAGAGCCACTAAGACTCTCCACCTTAACAACACCAGTAGTTTATAGAGCCACTAAGACTCTCCACCGTACCAACACCAGTAGTTGATATAGAGCCACTAAGACCCTCCACCGTACCAACACCAGTAGTTTATAGAGCCACTAAGACTCTCCACTGTACTAACACCAGTAGTTTATAGAGCCACTAAGACCCTCCACCGTACCAACACCAGTAGTTGATATAGAGCCACTAAGACTCTCCACTGTACTAACACCAGTAGTTTATAGAGCCACTAAGACTCTCCATCGTACCAACAACACCAGAGTATTTTTAAACTAATAATTCACTGGCAACTGCCAATGAATTAATAGTTGACACTAGCAGTGCTGTCAGCGAATCTTCACTCTGACTCGTGAATCAGAATATTCATATTATAAAAAGGTAAAGATGGAATCACTGCTGACTGTTCACCATCACTTGTCATGTCAGAGTCACTGGTGTTATGCACAACAATATTGTCTTACAGTCTGGTGATAAATTCTCTTATTTAAAGGTTCACGTGCGGGTTTAGCTTCTGTATATATGATCTTGTTATTTACGAACATTCCCAGAGGTTAAGTTTACTCTCAGAAGGTTAGGGAAAAAACCTGAAACTTTATTGAGATTGCTAAAATCTTGGAATCGTTGAAATCAATTACTGGAGGAATGTTTGTATATTATAGATGACGGTGTGTGGAACATTGTGAAGACAACGGTAGTAAAATATTTGTGAACATCTCTGAAAGACTTGGTATTTTGAGTGGATCAATGCACCCCGGGAGGTACAGGAGCCCCTGGTTAACAACCATTGATTGAAGGTGGAGAAAGGTTATGTGGAACTCACCTTACACTTGCGGATCTTGAAGACGACGAAGCCGAAGATAAGAGAGAGCACGACACAGGCAGCCTCCACACAGACGGGCACGACACGACTCAAGTTGTCGTACCTGACAGTGCACATGAGGGAAGCTGAGCACTCCTCACACCCCGCCGGACATGGCTCACACCTGCACAACACACATAACACATTACAACTCACTCGTGTTTAGACCCATCATCCAGAAGTAAGAGCCTGGTTGATCAGGCCCTGATCCACCACGAGGACTGGTCATGGACGGGCCGCGGGGCGTTCACCCCCCCAGAACACCCTCCAGGTATACTCCAGGTATGTACATGAATGGTATACAGTTGATATACTGGTATACAGTACCGACAAGATAATAATTAGACACATGTGCAACATCTGGGTATCTTTATTGTAGACGTTTCGCCATCCAGTGGCTTTATTAATACAAGAACATAACTGTAAGACAGTAAAACTATATCCAAAGGATGAGGCAATCAGTCTCTCAGCCTTGCCTGAGGAACTGATACAGGACAAGTGTTTCCTGACACTGGTCTTAGTCATATGATGACCCGCAGCTGGAACTTTCGGTCATTGATCGAGGCCTTCCACCGGCTTACCTGTCCACCCTTTTAAAAATTATGCTTGAGAGACAGCAACCACCCAGGGAGGTACTACTGTACTGTCATGTGTGACAGAGAAACCTGAAGTTGTTATACATTCTGGTAAGATTGTTGGTGTATTCTGTCTTATAAACACATGACAGATACATCTTGCTACTGCTACTTACACCCAGTACACACTACACATGACAGATACATCTTGCTACTGCTACTTGCACCCAGTACACACTACACATGACAGATACATCTTGCTACTGCTACTTGCACCCAGTACACACTACACATGACAGATACATCTTGCTACTGCTACTTGCACCCAGTACACACTACACATGACAGATACATCTTGCTACTGCTACTTACACCCACTACACACTACACATGCCAGATACATCTTGCTACTGTTACTTACACCCACTACACACTACACATGACAGATACATCTTGCTACTGATACTTACACCCACTACATACTACACATTCAGCTATCCATATATATGTCTTCACATTCATCTCAGTCTCCTTATTTCTTAATAGTTTTTGTACTAGTGTCTCCTTTTATCTCCAAGAACAAGTGTGTGAGAACTCTCACACCTGAAGAGTCAACTAAGTGCCCCCGTCTTCTAATAACAAGATCATTTTTTTCCACTGTAATCTACCTTGTCCATAATTACTATTGCATTTGTTTTCTCTGTTTCGTAAGGTGAAGTCCAGGATCTTTCCTTAATTCATGGTATAACTTAACAAATCTTTGATGACAGTTGTGTTGCAGAGGTGTGAGCGCCGCTCAAACCTCTGCAACACTATTGTTAATGTTATAAATGAAAGCAAGCTGGATGTACAACCTATGAAAAATAAAGGTAAGGAGGGGAGGGGGAGACAGGTCAGAATAAGTGAGGGATGTGAGAAGTGGGTCACGATAAGTGTTAACGCACCCCGAGAAGCGTGCGTTAATACTTATAGTAACCCAAAGTACTACATATAGCGACTTACAGTGACGCAAAGTACTACATATAGCGACTTACAGTGACGCAAAGTACTACATATAGCGACTTACAGTGACGCAAAGTAATACGTACACTAGAGGTGAGTGTGTAGCAGTAGCATATATAGCCAGCCATGGACTTGACTGTCAGACATTATTGCTAGCCATGGAGTTGACTGTCAGACATTATTGCTAGCCATGGAGTTGACTTTCAGACATTATTGCCAGCCATGGACTTGACTGTCAGACATTATTGCTAGCCATGGAGTTGACTGTCAGACAATACTGCCAGCCATGGAGTTGACTGTCAGACAATATTGCCAGCCATGGACTTGACTGTCAGACACTATATTCTAGCCATGGAGTTGACTGTCAGACAATACTGCCAGCCATGGAGTTGACTGTCAGACAATATTGCCAGCCATGGACTTGACTGTCAGACACTATTTCTAGCCATGGAGTTGACTGTCAGACAATACTGCCAGCCATGGAGTTGACTGTCAGACAATATTGCCAGCCATGGACTTGACTGTCAGACACTATTTCTAGCCATGGAGTTGACTGTCAGACAATACTGCCAGCCATGGAGTTGACTGTCAGACAATATTGCCAGCCATGGACTTGACTGTCAGACACTATTTCTAGCCATGGAGTTGACTGTCAGACAATACTGCCAGACATGGAGTTGACTGTCAGACAATATTGCCAGCCATGGACTTGACTGTCAGACACTATTTCTAGCCATAGAGTTGACTGTCAGACAATATTGCCAGCCATGGAGTTGACTCTCAGACAATATTGCCAGCCATGGAGTTGACTGTCAGACAATATTGCCAGCCATGGAGTTGACTGTCAGACAAAATTGCCAGCCATGGAACTGACTGTCAGACACTATTGCTAGCCATAGAGTTGACTGTCAGACAATATTGAGAGCCATGGACTTGACTGTCAGACACTATTGCTAGCCATAGAGTTGACTGTCAGACAATATTGCCGGCCATGGAGTTGACTGTCAGACAATATTGCCAGCCATGGAGTTGACTGTCAGACAATATTGTCAGCCATGGAGTTGACTGTCAGACAAAATTGCCAGCCATGGAGTTGACTGTCAGACAATATTGCCAGCCATGGACTTGACTGTCAGACAATATTGCCAGCCATGGAGTTGACTGTCAGACAATATTGCCAGCCATGGAGTTGATTGTCAGACAATATTGCTAGCCATGGAGTTGACTGTCAGACAATATTGCCAGCCATGGAGTTGACTGTCAGACAATATTGCCAGCCATGGAGTTGATTGTCAGACAATACTGCCAGCCATGGAGTTGACTGTCAGACAATACTGCTAGCCATGGAGTTGACTGTCAGACAATACTGCCAGCCATGGAGTTGACTGTCAGACAATACTGCCAGCCATGGAGTTGACTGTCAGACAATACTGCCAGCCATGGAGTTGACTGTCAGACAATACTGCCAGCCATGGAGTTGACTGTCAGACAATACTGCTAGCCATGGAGTTGACTGTCAGACAATACTGCCCAGCCATGGACTTGACGGTCAGACAATATTGCCAGCCATGGAGTTGACTGTCAGACAATATTGCCAGCCATGGAGTTGAGTGTCAGACAATATTGCCAGCCATGGAGTTGACTGTCAGACAATATTGCCAGCCATGGAGTTGACTGTCAGACAATACTGCCAGGCATGGAGTTGACTGTCAGACAATACTGCTAGCCATGGAGTTGACTGTCAGACAATACTGCCAGCCATGGAGTTGACTGTCAGACAATACTGCCAGCCATGGAGTTGACTGTCAGACAATATTGCCAGCCATGGAGTTGACTGTCAGACAATACTGCCAGCCATGGAGTTGACTGTCAGACAATACTGCCAGACATGGAGTTGACTGTCAGACAATATTGCCAGCCATGGAGTTGACTGTCAGACAATACTGCCAGCCATGGAGTTGACTGTCAGAAAATATTGCCAGCCATGGAGTTGACTGTCAGACAATACTGCCAGACATGGAGTTGACTGTCAGACAATACTGCCAGCCATGGAGTTGACTGTCAGAAAATATTGCCAGCCATGGAGTTGACTGTCAGACAATACTGCCAGACATGGAGTTGACTGTCAGACAATACTGCCAGCCATGGAGTTGACTGTCAGACAATACTGCCAGCCATGGAGTTGACTGTCAGACAATACTGCCAGCCATGGAGTTGACTGTCAGACAATACTGCCAGCCATGGAGTTGACTGTCAGACAATACTGCCAGCCATGGAGTTGACTCTCAGACAATATTGCCAGCCATGGAGTTGACTGTCAGACAATACTGCCAGCCATGGAGTTGACTCTCAGACAATATTGCCAGCCATGGAGTTGACTGTCAGACAATATTGCCAGCCATGGAGTTGACTCTCAGACAATATTGCCAGCCATGGAGTTGACTCTCAGACAATATTGCCAGCCATGGAGTTGACTGTCAGACAATACTGCCAGCCATGGAGTTGACTCTCAGACAATATTGCCAGCCATGGAGTTGACTCTCAGACAATATTGCCAGCCATGGAGTTGACTGTCAGACAATATTGCCAGCCATGGAGTTGACTCTCAGACAATACTGCCAGCCATGGAGTTGACTGTCAGACAATACTGCCAGCCATGGAGTTGACTGTCAGACAATACTGCCAGCCATGGAGTTGACTGTCAGACAATACTGCCAGCCATGGAGTTGACTGTCAGACAATACTGCCAGCCATGGAGTTGACTGTCAGACAATACTGCCAGCCATGGAGTTGACTGTCAGACAATACTGCCAGCCATGGAGTTGACTGTCAGACAATACTGCCAGCCATGGAGTTGACTGTCAGACAATACTGCCAGCCATGGAGTTGACTGTCAGAAAATATTGCCAGCCATGGAGTTGACTGTCAGACAATACTGCCAGCCATGGAGTTGACTGTCAGACAATACTGCCAGCCATGGAGTTGACTGTCAGAAAATATTGCCAGCCATGGAGTTGACTGTCAGACAATACTGCCAGCCATGGAGTTGACTGTCAGACAATACTGCCAGCCATGGAGTTGACTGTCAGACAATACTGCCAGCCATGGAGTTGACTGTCAAACAATACTGCCAGCCATGGAGTTGACTGTCAGACAATACTGCCAGCCATGGAGTTGACTGTCAGACAATACTGCCAGCCATGGAATAGACTGTCAGACAATACTGCCAGCCATGGAATAGACTGTCAGACAATACTGCCAGCCATGGAGTTGACTGTCAGACAATACTGCCAGCCATGGAATAGACTGTCAGACAATACTGCCAGCCATGGAGTTGACTGTCAAACAATACTGCCAGCCATGGAATAGACTGTCAGACAATACTGCCAGCCATGGAATAGACTGTCAGACAATACTGCCAGCCATGGAGTTGACTGTCAAACAATACTGCCAGCCATGGAGTTGACTGTCAGACAATACTGCCAGCCATGGAGTTGACTGTCAAACAATACTGCCAGCCATGGAGTTGACTGTCAGACAATACTGC